ATTTATTTTATTTATTTTATTTATTTTATTTATTTTATTTATTTTATTTAGATAAAAAATTAGTCATACCTAGTTTTAAAAACTAGCCTATTTAGGAAAGCCTAAGAGGTTTTAAAAACTATTTTTAATTAATAAAAAGTTATTTATTTATTTTTCTTCCTATTTTACCTGAGCATTTTACTATATATAGTAATAATAGACCTATATAGTCTAGTGGTATAGTTTACTATATAATTTAAATAAGCTAGGGGTTYGATCCCCTTTATAGGTTAAAATAATTAATTTATTTATTAGTTTAAACACGTGATTTACTATTAAATTAAATAAATAATAATAAACTTTCTATAACTAGTTAATATTATATCTTAAATTAATACTAATAATAAATATAATAATAAAATATATATTAGGGGAATCACGTGACTTATAAAATATTTTATTTTTATTTTTAAATTTTATAAAATATCAAGTTTTTTAATATATTTTACATTATAATATATATTAGGCTTACTAATATATATTAGGCTTACTAATATATATTATTATATAATAATATACATTATTATTTTATATAAATTAAAAATAATAATATATATTAAATAAAATGTGACTTTTTGACTATATTGAGTTTTGATATGTATTCACCGGCGGATACGAATGTGGGCGTGCTGATACGGTATCACAAACCCCCCCCAGCGCCTGCATGGTACTCTCTAATCATTACCCGAGTTACTGGGTCCATTTTCTTAAGCTAACTTCTATTACATCTTCCATGCTTTACATAGTGGCCCAACGCAGTGTTTCAACGATGGATGTCTGAGTCCAGATCCTCGGTCCGAACTCCCTCGGCAACGGGATCCTTCAACGTGAAGAGTATACTATAGTGGGAGTTAAAGGACGGGCTGAAACTGGTTGCTAGATAAGGCGGCGTTCAATAAACTGGTCCACTAATAAACAATTGTCCGTGCGGATCTGGCATCTATCACGCCAACACTACCTAGGTACAAAGACAAGAATATCTGTTAATTACACCAGGTGTTAAGAAGCCTCGATTCTGGAGCTATAGCGTGCCAATAGCTTGGACACATCTACCTACCATACCTTAGGTACTCGTATAGCTACCCCGCAGATCTGGTATCTGTCATGTCTGCCACCTCCTCCCGCCAAGCTGGTTACTTGTCCGTTGCGTCCTAGTAGGATCGTGCAGGGGCTTCTGATTTGCCAGGGAGTAGGCTTCTTGCTGGAGCTGGACAGTGCGAGTCAGAATACATGACAGCTCTGTTTCCCCGCGTTCTTGGCTTCGACAATCTGGGCTGGGGCTGGGTCTACCTGGGGTCTGAACATGAGGATGGAGCGTATCCAGGTCCACGGATATGGTCTTGACAAGCGAATGGACAGGGACCTAGGTGCCAAGCCAATCTACTGAGATATATAAGAAGCAAGGTTGCTAAACGAGTACCTGGTCGATTTCTCACATTTTGATACCCTTAGTACACTGCAGAGTACAATGGCGACCACGGCGGAAATCAAAACGTCGTTTACTTCGAAGCATGTCGAGGATAACGAGAAAGGCGTTCTATCTTCACATATCTCAGACTCATCCTTGCAATACGATGAAGAGACTGTGAAGCGCATCAAGCGCAAGATCGATATCCGCTTGTGTGTGGTTGTTGCGGTTATGTACACCGTCTGCCAGATCGACCGGGTGAACTTGGCGAATGCGTACCTATGCTCCCAACCCTTCTGATGCCGTAACTCACGCTAAAGACCATTTCGATAGGGTCGTCGCTGGCATGGGCGCTGACATCGACCTCACTGGCACAAACTACGTACGTGCCCTAACCGCCGCCCTTCCAACATCCCATCCCACCTAACAATTCTGATCTCACCAGTCAACAATCGTCGCCGTCTTCTTCCCAACATACACAGTCTTCCAACCCCTAATGACCGTACTCGCGCGCAAAATCGGCCCGCGAATCTTCATGGGTTTCATCACCGTCGCATGGGGTCTCGTGATGGTAGGCATGGGCCTCGTCAACAACTGGCGCGAACTCGCCGGACTACGTGTTGTCCTGGGTCTCTTTGAGGCAGGTCTTTTCCCCGCCGCAGTGTTCCTGATTAGTAGCTGGTATATCCGCCATGAGACGGGGAAGCGCATTGGGTTGTTTTATCTGCTGGGCAGTGCGATTAGTTCGTTTGGGGGGATTTTGGCTTACGGTGTACGTGCTTTTTTCTTCCCCTGAAGTGTCAAGGTACTGATGGATGCAACAGCTGCAACAAATGCACCGTCTCCAAGGCCACGCTGGATGGCGCTGGATCTTTATTATCGAGGGCGTGCTTACCGTTGCCATAGGACTGGCTGGGTTCGTGTTGATCATCGACTTCCCTGAAGATGCGCGACGAACGCGTTGGTTTCTTACCGACCGAGAAATTGATATCATGATTGACCGTGTTGAGAAGGATCGGGGCGATGCCCATGTTACGCCGTTTGTGCTCAGGGAGTATCTTAGCTATGCCTTTGAGTGGCAGGGGTGGTTGCTGGCTGTGAACTTTCTGATGACGGCTATTGTTATGTGAGTTCCCGCAAACACCATACCTAAGTGAGGTCGAAGCTAAAAAGAAGTGAAAGATACGCGGTTTCGTATTTCCTTCCAATCGTCCTCATGCAAGGGCTCGGTTTCGGTGTTGCGGAGGCTCAGACTCTTACTGCACCAGTAAGCCTTCTTCTCCAGTATGCATTGCCGGGTACTAACTTCAGCAGTGCTTCCTCTTCGGCACCCTCCTCGGCCTAACCGAATCCTGGCTCTCCGACAAATACAAAACGCGCGGCATCATCGTGGTCATCAACGCGCTCCTCCAGATAGTCGGTGTCGCACTGCTAGGGTACGCCAAAAACAACGGCGTGCGATACTTCGGCGCCTTTATACTCACCGGCAGCTGCAACGCTAATATACCCGCTGCACTAACATACCAGTCGAATAATATTACCGGCCAGTGGAGGCGCGCCTTTGGGTCGGGGCTCATTGTTGGTGCTGGCGGGGTTGGAGGAATCATTGGGGGTTTGGTGTTTCGAGATCAGGATGCGCCTGATTATAGGTACGTCTCTTCAATAGATAGATAGTTGCTAATCTTCTACAGGCCTGGTCTGTGGACTTGTTTCATTGCGGCTGCGATTACGGTTGTGTCTGTGGGGATCACGACTGTCACGATGGGGAGGAGGAACAAGAGGCAGGAGCGAGGGGAGGTCATTTTTGATACGCCTGGGTTTAAATTCACCCTGTAGCTTTACACCTATTTCTTCATGAGATTTAGTCTAGATCACAATGCCGAGTAGAGTATAAACGTTATTGATCTTGTTATTGTGATGGCGTGCTTCCGCACCTCAATGACCTCAAACCATCCCAATCACCACGCAGCTGACGAATCGCGACATTTTCAATGGAAAGCACACATGCACATAGTGCGGGGATCTCCATCGACCTTGCGGAGCCGGACTCCTCGGAGATCCATCTTCACCAAATCTCCATAACATAAAGATCCACGTCGGCATGGAAGAGCGGATCCGCAAACGCATCCCCAAGTCCTGCCGCCGCTGCCACCGGCGCAAACAGCGCTGCGTTGGGGCGCCCGTTTGCGCAAACTGCGAGCTTGCGGGTCAGCCGTGCTTACGCTCGGATAGTGTCCCCTCGTGGCATCATGGGATGAGCAAGGGGGCGCTGGCGCAGCGGATTGAGACGCTCGAGGCGCAGCTTGCTGCTTTGACAGAGAGTCGAAGTGAAGGGGGGAGTCATTCGGAGTCTAGAAATGCTCATCAGTTTGGGATCTCGAGCGAAACGACATCGCCTGGCACAGGGCCCAGTCCAGGATCTGTCTCAGGGATAGGATCGAATGCGTCGACGAACTCACCGGAGAACCACGGTGCCGTCATGCACTTTCTCATCCAGGGGCCGGGAGGGTATGAGGATAAGGTCGAGGGGAACTACCTAGGACCCTCATCGGGACTGACCATCGCGGAAAATATCAGTCGGATCGTGCAAGATGCAGTATGGAAATCCATTCCAGTCAATGAAACCCATGAGTTTATGGCGCCCTGCGAGAACGATGCGACCGGGCCAGCAGATGCACCGGACGACGCTATAGGAGCGAGGATTCTCGAGGCGTATTTCAAGAGCATGCAGATGCGCTTACCGTTCCTGTGTCGAGCGGAAATATACGGTCTACATGCTAGACGCCATGAGCCGGTTGGACCGAGTACGGTGGAGCAATTTGCACGGTTTAAGATCTTCATGGTCTATGCCATCGGCGCTGCGATTCTACGGATGACGGAGATGTACGATTCAACGCCACCGAGGAATTACTTCGTTACGGCAATGCAGTATCAGCCTGCTATACAGGGCTCGTTGTCCATCTCAAGCATAGAGGCGCTTATGTTACTGGCAATGTACAACCTGCAGTCTTCTGCGAGCTCCAGCGTGTGGTACATGATGGGCCTGGCAACGCGGATATGCGTAGACTTTGGACTGCATCGAGAAGCACAGTATCGGCGGTTGCGGCCATATGAGGCACAGAGACGACGGAGGCTCTTCTGGAGCGTATATCTCAATGAGCGGTCTGTTGCGTGGTCGCTTGGTCGGCCATTTAGTATCGGTGACGAGGAGATCGACGCAGAGCCGCCGGCTGATATCGACGACTCGCTGCCTGAAACAGCGGACAAAGAGCTGTTTCAAACCCCTAAGAATCCAAGCGAACAATGGGACGGTCCCAATATTCGATGCTTCATAGCGTGCATCAAGCTTTCGCGCATCTCATCACGGACCAGGGCAAGCGTGTACAGACTTGATCGAGACACCCAATCTCTGCTCCACCAAGTCCACCCCCTACTCGAAATGCTAGACGAATACCAAAGGACCCTTCCTTGCCTATCAGACTACGAGAACGATTTCATCCAGATGCACTGGAACAGCGCGACGCGGACGCTACTACACCCGTTTCTTAATATCCTTCCGCCAGACGATGACCTTGCACGCCGCTGCTTGTACTCATCTGGTCAGATGTGTCAGTACTTCAAGAGATTACGGCAGAGAGACTCGACATGGTACTCGTTCTTGCTTATCAACACTCTGTTCATGGCGGGACTGACTATCTGGTACGTCACTTCTCTCTCCTATGTGTCCCCCAGGGCGGGTGTGCTAAAATATAGACAGTCTCTGCCTCTTCCGGTCCCCTCGCCTCTGGACAATAAGCGTTTCCAACGACCTGCGTGCATGCTCATCCGCCCTCTTCGTAATGGCGGAGCGACACCCCTCTGTCCGCAAATACCGCGATGCTCTCGAAACAGCAATCAACCGCGTGATGGACTACGTGAATGATGCTCAGATGCACAGCCAGCACCAAGGACATACTTCTGGTGGTATGGCATATAGTCTCGATCGAGCCCTAACTGATCCGCCCACGCCGGGCTTCTACATTCCCTCTCCGCAGGCGAGTAGGGCTGGAGCTGGACCTGGTCTTGGTGGCGAGACGCCAGAGATAATATCACTCTTCGATGGTCGCGCAGCTGCATTTTCGAATCTATTCACGGAGGACTTTTGGGCGGGTGATGCGTTTGGTTTACATATGGGCGAGTCATTTGGGTTGCGGACGTAGCCGATTCCTCCTTCTCCTAGGTACATCCATGGATTCAACAAATCGAGTCCCTTTAAACGTGTATATATTCCATAGCACAAGAATGTGAACATTCTACCAATGCACAGGGTTTAAATGCTCCTCAATTCCCAGATCCTCACGCCTCGACTTACTGTTCGGGTCGAAGTACGGCACCTCGCCAATCCCCACAGCACGGTTTCCACTCCTCTCGCCAATACCATCATAGTCGAATGTCGCGGTGTGGAAGACGCTGCGGTTGTCCCAGATGGCTATGCCACTCACATCAGTATCCATCCTGAAGAGTACAAGAGGGAAGAGGAAGAGGTTAGGGTTCCGCACCAATATCATTCGGCTCCGCCCACTTAAACCGCACCTGCAGATCATGCCCATACGTAATGAGGTCGTGGAAGTACTTGAGCAGATTCTCGCTCTCGCGGCTCGTCAGCCCGTTGACGGATTTCGGGAACGTCCCTGCACCCGTTACCCTGAGGTCCAGGTCCTTCGCACCAACAGTGGACGATTGGACGATAGCTAGGTAGATTGGAAGCAGGGATCCTCACCAACAGGAAACACACTCTTCCACCCCGTAATCGGATTCGTCCGCACAACCGGATGATCAGCCTCCAGCCCAGCGCCAACATTCACCGGCGCCCCTCGGGCCCCCGTATATATCTCCGCATTCCCCCGTTCCACAGCGCGCCGGAACCCCTCGCCCACATGTCTCGCGCTCAGGCTCTCCAGGAAAGAACGATACGACTTCGACACCCGATCATACACCTCATACCCGCTCGCCCAGAGCGTATCGCCTCCCGTCTCTGGGAGCTGTGTCAGCCGCAACGCAGAGAAATCCGCCGGCGCGGTCTCGAACGAGATATCGGAATGCCAGACGGCCGCGAGATGCCCGTAGGATCCGCGGAAGAGCTTCTTGTGGCTGCGGCTGTTGATCGTGCTGATCTGCGGATCCGGGTCGCCGAATTCCTGGCTGTTGTTGACGACCGGGTGGATGTGCAGGCTGTGGCCGGCAGGGCGGCCGGTTAACTCGCCGAGACGCAGGATGAGGTGCTTCTGCAGCTCGTTTGTGAGGTTGTGCTGGGCGCGGAAGAAGACGACGCCGCGTTCGGCGACTGCACGGCCCTGGGTATTAGCATGTTTTGATGATGTGGATGGTGAGGGCTTAAGGCTTAAGGCTAAGGGACGGACTTAGGATAGCGAGATCGCGGATCCGTGCGTCGGCGTTTGGGGCGTGGAGGATGTCGTCGACGATGTTTATCGAGCCCTTGGGGAACTCGTTGCCGATGACGGGGGTTAGGATCGTTGGTTTGAAGGCGTCCAGCGAGCCCGAGGAGAATTGGCGGGGGTGGGAGGGCTTGCCGCTGGAGCCGTTGGATTCGACTGGGACGGTCATCGTGCCTTCGTTTCAAGATGTCTTTGATGTGTCTGAGGGTAGAGTGATACTTGAAATGGTTATGAGTGCGGATCTGTGGCTGGATGGCCTCTTATATAGACGTTGTCATGTATAGATGGCTATCGCCGACCCATCGGCTTTCGGCGATAAGACTGGCAGCGTGCACGCCTTTTATTGACGATCACTCCAGCTATTGAGTGCTTGATGCGGGGATTGCGCGACCAGTGGCCACTTATCTTCTCTGTTGTGGTTGACTGGGTCGACGCCATGCGCGGCGTTGATGACGGGATCGCTAATGGGACCATTGAGCGGCAGCACGATATGGATACCGAAGTGGCGCAATCATTATCGGATGGAGCTTGGAGCATCGGCATCGAGATAATAGATAACTCTGGCGGAGCCTACTGCTGTCCTCTGCCGTGGAGTCTTTCTGTGGTTATAGTCCCGCTCCAAAGCCCTAATTCATACTCCCAGGGAACTTACCATGACTCTGCTGCAGCCCTAAGCCGAGGGTAGCACAGTACCCAACTTATCACTTCGAGCGCTGGGATACGCGTGGCTCTTCCCAGAGCTTACGGTCCACTAAAATAGGACGATTTGACTCCATATTTAGGTAGGCTAGATGCTGAAGACACAGCCATCTCATTCTTCTTCTGACTGCGCCTCTTCCAGGCATTATTTTCCGCCAGACCTATCATGTATACAAACGCCATCGGTAATACCGTGGTGGGCGGCAGAAGCCGCTGAGAAGAGAAATGAGCGAAGCAACAATTACCCAGTCTGTTTACCCCTGAGGCCATGGATATAAGTGGGGGTAAAGCAAACGCCATGGAAGCTTGGCTATATGTCTACGAATCTACAAGCTGTACCATGCCCACTAATCAATCAACAACGACTTCACAACCCCCTTAAACTCCCTCTCACAATCCCCCGCAAGATCATGCCTCAACATCCTCTTCATCCTCCCCGAGAACAACCCATACGTCCAATCGCTCTTCCACGTCACCCCCGCATACCCCAGAACAAAGTCCCTGATAACCTGCCCAACTCCATCAGGAACATGGAAGACCCTCCGATTGCCAACGGCAGCTTGGACGGTGCGCGTCGTGCGGGGTCTCCGAATGCCCTCGTATACCTCCAGGATACGCAGGATGTATTCGTGAAGTGGCGATTGTGGAGATATTGTCGGTTCATCGGTGGAAACTGCTTGAAGAGAGGTGTGAAGCAGTCCGAGCAGTTTTCCCAGCGCGAAGCCGTCTTCCACCGCCATTGCGGCGCCCTGCGCTTGGTAGGGCAGCGTTGGGTGGCATGCGTCGCCGAGGAGGGCGACTGGGCCCTACACCTTATGTTAGCACTCATCCCTCTAGACCTCATCGGCCAGTTTCCATACCCTCGTCCAGGTCTCTAACTGCGGTAGATGCGTGAGCTTCCATTTCGTCACCGCGGATACGCACGAAATCAACTTCGTCAGTCTATGATATTATCAGCATCAGCATCTCCTTTCCTCAAGAATGGCGCCTGAGTGGTAGGGTAATACCTCTCATCCCACCCCGTATAACTCTCCGTCATTTCCTCAACGTCCCCTTGGACCCTCCTGACACCCGTATCCAGATTATCCGGCCGCAGCAGGACGAGGTTGAACTCCTCCCCGTTCCGCACGGGGTAGAAGATAGAGTGTTTATCCGGACCTAGCCAGGATGTAACTGACGTTTGAGCACAGAGCTCATGTATAGCTGGATCATTCAGGGCTTCGAGCTCGGTGCGCTTGATGGTTGCGCGGTAGGCGAGGTCGCCTGTTTCTTGGGGTCTTGTTGGCTTGTCGAGGACGATATCCCGGATTCGAGAGTGGAGGCCTGTAGATATCAGCGGCTCTATACCTTAAAGCTCTACATAATGTTTAGGCAAAGGACATACCATCCGCGCCGACGATGACATCCCCCGCGACCCTCTCCCCACTAGCGAGAATAACTTCGGGTGCGTCAAATACCACATCCGTGACTTCAGCATTCAGTCGAATCTCAACGCCCAACCGACCCGCTTCATCAAGCAAGACCTGATGAAAATCCTGTCTATGAATAATCCTGCGCGCTATCAGCAAATCCACATCATTATCAGATCTTATCAGAGAGACAGGGCATACACCCAAGGAACCCCAAACTCCTCCACAACATCCTCCCCAAACGGCATGGACCTTAGAATCCGCCCATCCGCATACCGCCGGAAATCAACATGGCGCACAACACTCCCCCTCTCCAGAACCCTCGACAGCAGATCCAGCTGTTTCAGAACGGCGGTTCCATTCGGCGGGATCTGGATCCCCGCCCCGACCTCGCGCGCTTCAGGCGCCCGCTCGAGGACCGTAACATGCGCATCTGGGATGAAGCGGCGGCATGCAATCGCGCAGGTTAGACCGCCGAGACCGGCGCCTACGATGATGATTTCCATGATGTCTCGATACAGCAAAGGTACACGGTGAGATGGAGATAACGGCCGGGGGGCGCGAGTTTATTTAAAGCAGAGCAGTGCACAGCCTCTTGGCATGTCAGAGCGGGGTTGGTGCCCGTGTGCCCGTGCGCCCTGTCTATTTAGCCCCCTTCCTGCCGACGAAGTAGTACAGCGTGATAAACGGCCACTGCACGCTCCTCTGTCCGCTGCTGAATGTCCATCCGTCGAGATCCTTCCCTGAGGTCGCGAGCAGATCCTCGATTTCCCCTGGTGTGCGCGTCCGCAGACACGAGATGAATCCGTCGACCCAGAGCGCTACCGGCGCGATCGGGAGGAGGAAGGTGAAGAGCAGATGCACCGGCGAGTTCCAGTACCACAGCAGCGTAACATAGAAGCCCCAGAAGAAGACGAGCGGCGAGTACAGGCACGTTGAGACCTGGCGGGCGGTGATTTCAAAGATCCTGCGCTTGTTAGCATCATCTTGTCGAGATGGTAAATGGGAGACGCTACACAAACGCATCCGCCTCCGCAACCGCACCGCGCAGAATCCCCGCCGCATCGCGGTCATCGAAATGATGGAAGCAGATGTTGAACACGCGACACTCTTTCTTATCGTCTGCTGCAACCCGCCCAACAGACCGCGCATCAACAGCCTCCTCGATAAACCGCACATTCGGCTGCTTCTTGGCGATCGCGCTCCACACATCCACGGGCGGGAACATGTCCGTCAACACGAACGTCACGGGCTCTTGGTCCTGTTTCTCAGCGTCGCGGTTCAGTTCGCGCTCGATCAGCGGCGTTGGACCGCCGGCTCCGGCGCAGACGTCCACGATCGTGTAGGAGGATAGATCGGTAAAATGCTCTTTTAGCACGGTGCAGGCTGCTGTGGCCAGACTGCTGCGGCTCCAGAGGGGGACGCGCAGGGCCCAGAGTTGGGAGAGCGAGAATTGCTCGTGGTGGTGTAGCCACGCTGGGCACCAGGGTTGGTCGCCGAGTTCGTGGAATTGGATGCGGGGCCAGGGCATGGTGGTAGTTTTGGGTGTGGTGTGTTGTTGGGATGGTGAGGTTGTTGTGGGAAACGCGGAAGATGGGTGGAATTACACCGCGTCCTCCAACATCAAAATGACATTTTCATTTTTCGATAAATTCGATATTTTTGATGTTTATGTCATGCGTCAGTTATTCATGCTCTTCAAAGGTAACAAAAAAGAACCTTCATTTTGTTCTTTTTCAAACGTCGCGCCAAAAAAGGCCAGGGTTTCGGCAAGCCTTTAAAAATATATATTTCAACAAGCCTTATGTTGCTCATTTTCACAACCATTGTCATTAATCTGAGGCACCAACTTCTAAGTTCTTCCCCAGAGGTAAACATAACTACGTCCTTGCTACGGAAAGCAGTGGTATACCGATGTGCAACTCATTATTAGGGCAGTTTACCCCTCACTCCGGGTGAAAAAGAAACCCTAAGAAGTAAGCCTCGCCTCGGTAGCTGGGCTCTCAGAAACACCAAAAGAAGAAAAAGACAAAAAGAATGACAAGGGTGGGATTCGAACCCACGCCAAATTAATGACGCGGAAACTTGATAACAAGAGGAGGTTCTGCTAGGACCTTAACCGCGCGCCTTAGACCGCTCGGCCACCTTGCCTGTTGTGTGATTAGTAAGATGTTTTTATGTTACATAGCTACATACAAGAATTTAACATCCACTGAGTTTCTCACTCTACCATACCCCGCTCACCCTCAACATCCAAGCCTCAAGGGTGAATTGGTTACACTACCCCTGCAGAAGCAGCAACCCGCACATCCTATGCAGAATGGAATCTAATCTACGCGGACTAGCCAATCACTGCCCCCCATACCATCGCCAAATCAGTGCAGGCCATCCCGTGTGGACTGTGGAGTGGCCTGACACCTGTCAACGCCTGAACACCAGCTAAGCAACGCCCGGCCTCGAGCCCCTCCCTGCTAGTCCTCCAATGTCCTAGTCTAGATATGCACTAAGGTATCTAAGTGCAGGCGCCTACGCAGCTGGACTCCGGAGGGGTAGTCTACTTAAAGGCGCTACCCGCAGCAGCTGCGTCGTAAGCCATCCAGCCAAACTTGCAAAATGTCCCCATCCACCACCAACACAGACAGCGCAACCGGCCTCCGCAATGCAAGCTACGACTTCATCATCGTCGGCGGCGGGACCGCAGGCCTCGTCCTCGCACACCGTCTAAGCGCCGACCCCACAGCCACCGTCCTCGTCCTAGAAGCAGGAAGCAACAAGCTCGACGACCCGCGGATAAAAATCCCCGGCCTCGCAGCAACGACATACGAGGATCCCGAGTTTGATTGGAATTTGCGCTCCATCCCACAGACCCAACTCAATGGGCGTCGCATCTTCGGCAATAAGGGGCGCACGCTTGGTGGGTCTTCCGCTATCAACATGGGCATGCTGGTGTACCCGTCTCGAGCTGGGATGAACGCATGGGAGGAACTCGGGAATCCAGGATGGGGATGGGACGAGTTCGCGCCGTATGTGCGCAAGTTCCACACGGGTACGCCGCCGTCCGACTCGGTGCGAAGATTCTTCGGCGGTATGAAATCCGAGGCTGCCGATCAAGGGAGCGAGGGGCCGGTGCAGGCGAGTTTCGGCGATGAGACGGGGTACATGCCGTACCATGCGGCGTGGTTCCGGGCGTTCGAGGAGCTGGGGTGGCCGCAGACGGACGACCCCATTAAGGGCGAGGGCGCGGGGCCGTTTGTGAATCCTGGGGCTGTGGATCCGGTTACCAAGACGAGGAGTCATGCTGGGGCGGCGTATTTGGGAGGTGATGTGTTGGGGCGGGAGAATTTGAGGGTTGTTACGGGGGCGCTGGTGAGTCGGATTGTTTTGGATGGTGGGCATGGGGAAGAGGCTCCGGCCACCGCGACGGGCGTGCAGTTCATCAAAGACGGCGAGACATACACCGTCGCTGTAACCCGCGAGGTGATAATGGCAGCCGGTACATTCCAAACGCCCCAAATCCTCGAACTATCCGGCATCGGCGACGCAGCTCGTCTCCGCTCCCTTGGTATCGAGTCCGTCGTTGACCTCCCCACCGTCGGCGAAAACCTCCAAGACCACGGCATCGTCTGCTTCAACTACGAAGTCGCCGACGGGATGCCCTCAGGCGACATGGCGCGCGATCCCGCCGTCGCCGCGGCCGCAATGGCCGCGTACCAGAAGGACGGGTCGGGGCCGCTGGGCATGGTCCCCTTCGTGTCAGCGTTCATGCCATGCTTGGACGTTCCACAGGGTGAGCGCGAGGAAATGCTGTCCAAGATCGACGCGTCGATATCCGATCCCGACCTGAGTCACATGTACAAGAAGCAGTACGCCGTCCTCAGGTCCATCCTCGCCAACCCCTCCGAACCAACGGTGCAGTACATCATGGCCCCGCTACAGCTCGTTCCAAACGCAGGCCCAGACCCCAGCGACATCTTCGGCTTGAAGCACCCAGGCTTCTTCATGAGCATTCTGTCATTGCTCAGCTACCCCCTCTCCCGTGGCTCCGTGCACATCAACTCCCCCAACCCAAGCGCACCACCCACAATCGACGCCGCTCTCCTCCGACACCCCGCGGACCTGGCCCTCCAAGCCCGACACAGCATGTGGATGGAGAAGATCCCCGAGACGGGAGCCATGTCCGCCCTGCTAAAGAAAGACGGGGAGAGACTCCATGCGCCCGAGAAGATAAACAGTCTCCAGCAGGCGCAGGACCTCATCCGCGACCTCGTCCTCTCGATGTACCACGTCAGCGGGACGTGCGCGATGATGCCGCGGCAAGACGGGGGCGTCGTGGACCCGAGACTTAAAGTGTATGGGACGAGGAATGTGCGTGTTGTGGATGCGAGTGTGTTCCCGCTTGAGCCGCGGGGGAATATCCAGGCGACGGTGTTTGCGGTTGCGGAGAAGGCGGCGGATCTGGTTAGGGAGGATTGGGCTGACGTTGTTTAATATTCATTGAAGATTGCTTTTGATGGCTTGGACTAGGATTTTTTTTTTCTGCACGAGAACTTCGTGAATGTTGTCCTTGTGTTGTTGAATATGAGGATTGCCGCAAAAGTGGACGTAGGATGTCCTGTCTCGTGTGTCTGGGGTTATTGTGATAAAAATCCGTCCAGTCATGGTGAGAACTTGTATTAGGTCGTGCGCCTGATGTAATAAAGGTAAAGGTTAGATTGTTGTGCATGTTTAGGCCTCCAAACAGGAGTACACTAGGTTAGGTAGGCAGGTTAGGGCATTCTTATAATAGCATGGAGCCGGAGTTTGCATCTATGAATGCGGTACGGTAACCAACTGCCCGGTACAAACAAACAGGAGAAATGAGCTCCTACCCACTATTAGACGTCCCAGCTTCCTACGCCAAAGATTCAGAAGTCGTGACGCACTCGAGCACTGAGCATAGCTGGCAATCCTAGTCCATCACTGATCAGTGAACAACGCTGCAAAGAGTCGGGATCCCCCAGATCTCATGAAAACGCGGGGAGAGGGCGGGCGTTCCAAGAACTGGGGGGTTATCTAAGCCAATCAAGTATACAGTGCGGAATGTTTGTGCTTTTTATATCTAAAGGACTTGGCTTGCTTGAAGATCAGGTTGTACCCTAAGGAGATGTACTGGTTAGATAATAACTTTGTCCTTAAGCAAGTCGGGAGTTAGGACTTTGCTATACTGCACTATTATTATAAGACTAGGTTAGACACTTGGAAAGAAGATGCAGACGGCGATAATAATAATAAAACCAAGGCTTGTTCATCCAGCTTCAAGACGAGCAGGACAGTCCGGGCGAGCGCGGATATGGGAGGAAAGCGGTCCATTCCAGGCGTGGATCTTGACGATTAGTGAGGTGAGGGGACCCCGCGCCGGGGGTTACAGATATTCTTCACTCAAGCGAGCGAGTTTTGGGACCAGGAGATCTTTGCGGGTGAGCAAGGTATAAAAATACAAAAGGTGCTGCCAAGATGGGACCTTGCAGGCATCCTAGCCCCTATTAACTTTGTTCAACCCATTTGCATTCTTTACTCCCAGTCTTGGCTTGACATAACTGAAAGACTGCCATGCCCCTACGAACATACCACTCCTCCACAAAAGGCCTCTCAAGCGTAAGAACCCTCCATTCCTAAAACCCAACGGCGAGACCCTAACACCTGGATAAAATACACGACTCCCAAACCTCTAAAAGCTGTCTTCGTAATCCACCACCACCAGACCACTTCTTCAGCAAACAGCATCTTCGTCCCCTACCTTTCCGACTGGTGTAGCGTACTAATAGTAGACAGGGTCGAACAAGTCGAAACACCCGCTATACTGGACGCATGGAACAAGACCCTCTCATTCATCTCCGCGCTCAATCCACAAAGCTAATACCCGGGCACATAGAAAGCAGATGGGAGCTCAACACGGCTGAAGACCTACTATAGCAGCCACAGCGACACCCGGACCTCTTGTCTAAGAAAATCACACACGCACCAAGCAAGGCCAGGGCAGGAACTGTTTGAGTTCTTCAAGACGCAGTTCCCGCAGTGTAAAGACGAAAGAGAACCTGGATTTTTTTCTGGACCATTTGAGTAATCATTATGGGCAGGGCGGGGAGGTGTAGGAGAGCCGGCATCATGATGTTGCGTCTACGGAGGAAGATTGAGGGGTTGGGTGGGTAGTTTAAGTAACGATGTTTAACTCAGCATCAGGTTCCGTTAGAGGTTGTTTGATGCTGATCTGGCTTTGTATATAGCTTAGGTACCTAGGGCAGCTGGGCCGAGTTAGGGCATCCATAGCGGGTCCCATGCCGGTTCCGGGGGGTCCCGGCCAACGGCAATTTGACTGTCATATAACGAAATTTCATTGGACAACAGTTAGGTAACAGTTATTTAATGCTAAGGCGTTAAGCAACTGTTAGTTACAAGCAACGTAGTTGCTGGTAGGCTGTTAATTTAACAGGGGAATGTTAGTTAAGAAGATTAATATTACTTCCGGGCGGATGTTGTTACTAAGCCTAGTATTATTTTAGTTTAATATTAGTTTTACATTACAAATAACACATCCTTTGTTAGATTGGTGTTGGATTGCGTTTGCAGCATTAAAATATTATTAGTTTTAGCCTAAGTATTAGTTTTATGTTATAAATAATACATCCTTTATTAAATTAGCGTTGGATTGCGTCTGCAGTGTTAAAGTAGTATTATATTTTTATTTTAGTCTTAGTTTTATGTCGCCGTTAAGACAGTCTTTATTAAATGGGTATTAAATTATATTTACAGCGTTAGAATAGTAATATACTCTAGGATAAGTAGTAAAGCGCTCGGGTAATAATTAATATTATAAAGGCTTATATCAAGTAATAAAAAAGTATTAGCTAAAATAATATTAAAGGGGATCTCGGGATAATCAGGCTATATTTATTATTTATTAAAAGTAAATAAGTAAAGTTAAGCTAAAGCCGGGTGCAGGTGTAAGGTATAAAACTTTAATTATAAATTATAGCTAGGAATAAGCACCTGCTTATAAAAGGTAAATAATAATAATAAATTTTCTAGGCTAAGCGCTTATAATAAAATTACTATGCTATAAAAATAAGGCAACGGGAAAGGTAGCCTAGTATAAAGTTTAATTTAAAGGGGTCCAATAAAAAACAGTTAGGCAAACATAAACCAGGCTGGGATTTAAAGTAAAAATATAATTTTATAAGTTTTTACTCTGGCTTAATATATTTATAAATATGGCATCGTGGTGCCTTTAACTTTAAGTTCTTCCTTTGTTTTGCGGGGCGGTTCAAGGGCTCATCTTCTGGCTCGCTGGGTTCTTCCGCGACATCTTCAACAACCGGCGTGGGCTTCGTGATATCAACCCACGGGCGTCGCTGGGTTCTTCCGCGATATCTTTAATTATCAGCTTGGGCTTTGTAATAACAACCCATGGGCGTTGCTTCAGTTCTTCCTAGCAGATATAGGCCGGGGCCGGGCTTCTCTTGCCCATTTTATCTCTTTCTACCCGGAAGGGTCGATGTTTTTTCCCAAGATTAGGATTAAATCAACAAGCTCTTAATTATTAGCTTGGGCTTTGTAATATTAACCCACGGGCGTTGCTTTAGTTCTTCCTAGCAAATATAGGCCGGGGCCAGGGCCAGGCTTCTCTTGCCTATTTTATCTTTTTTTACCTAAAAGGGTTAATATTTCTTCCCAAGATTAGGATTAAATTAACAAGCTTTTAATTATTAGCTTGGGCTTTGTAATATTAACCCACGGGTGTTACTTTAGTTCTTTCTAGTAAATATAGGCCGGGGCCGGGGCCAGGCTTTTCTTGCTTATTTTATTTTTTTTTACCCGGAAGGGTTAATATTTCTTCCCAAGATTGGGATTAAATTAACAAGCTCTTCCACTTTAAAATAAATAAACCGCGCCGGTTAATATTTCTTCCTAAAATTAGGATTAAATTTAAGTAGCTGCTGCCTTTATATTTCGTGCTTTTTTATAAGCTTTTTTTATTTAAACTGCTTAACCCATTTGGGCGGCAATAACAAGCTATTTTACTTTAAAATAAATAAACCGCGCTGGTCCAGGACCTTTATAGTAAATGTAATAAATTAAATCTAAGTAGCTACTGCCTTCATGTTTTATGCTTTCCCATGAGCTTTTTTTATTTAAACTACTTAACTTATTCGGGCGGTAATAACAAGCTCTTTTGCTGTAAAATAAATAAATCACGCTAGTCCAGGACCTTTATAATAAACATAATAAATTAAATTTAAGCAGCTACTGCCTCCATGTTTCGTGCTTTTTTATAAGTCTAGGATTTTTGCAGCGGACGCAACGTAATATTTTGGTTATATAGCTAATATCCTGGACTAGTATATTATTACTATCACCAGCACCCTTATTAAAGTCCGCCTTAAATAATAACTTCAAGGTCCTATTAAGAAGCTTCCTAAGATACATCTTATTAATCTCCTGCCCATCCTTCCAAATAGTTAGCATAAGCACCTTAAGAAACTTAAGCGGGCATAAGACACAAATTTTAATATGCTTAAGTTATAACAAAGGTAGGATATAACATCCAGGAAATCGCATATCTTATGGTACTTCTAGTACAGCAGAATCTAGCGCAAATAGCTAATAAGTATTATTATACAGCACTAGGCTATTCCAGGGACTGGGATTTAGGTCCAAGAAATAATTTTACATGGTTTTTAGAGATTACACCCCCACAAGCTATATTCTTATTAGCACGCGGGCGGTATTACTATTCCAGGGACTAGGATTTAGGTTTAAGGAATAATTTTACATGGTTTTTAAGAATTATGCCCCTATAAGCTGCATTCTTGTCAGCACGCGGGCGGTATTACTGTTCCAGGGACTAGGATTTGGGTTTAAGGAATAATTTTACATGGTTTTTGGGGATTGCGCCCCCACGAGCTTTATGCCAGAGAATGCACTGGCGTTTAAAACGCTCGCCCTGGACAGCCCAATGGTCCTGGTGGTCTGCACGAGACTGGCCAGGTCAACCTGATATCTCCACGCCGTTCGCGCACCCTTCATATCCTGCTGCATGTACTGTATTTAACTGCTAAGGGAATGCCTATTGTATACCACTGCTTGTTCTTAAAAGCCATTTCTTATATTAACTTGTGATTGCGCACCAAAGGGTAATCCACGTAGTTATGTTTTTAAAACTGCTTAGCAAAGCACATCCAAGACCTTAATAGTATAGTTATCTAGCTTATTAATTAAAAATAAGATCTTAGTCTTAATCTCCGCGGGCATGTAGAAAATAACAAATTATTTTTTGCCAAGGTCCCTTATTTGCATACATGCTATGCAAGAGTTAGTAAGCGCCTTGTAGTTTCTTTGTAATCTTACCTTGTATAAGTTTATCCTTGGTAATGCCAGCTCCTAAAAAGATATAATAACACTAGCGCTGGGGATCACCCGGCCGGGCGAGGCCAGTTAATCAAGAGAGGCCA